ATAACAGAAATCTCCACCAGGGCTTATTTCTGAGTTATCCCTGGGGCAGCAGGGCTCATACCAGCCTGGATACTGCCCCTCAAGCGGTGGAGGCGAGCTGTTAGAGCCCACTTGGGGAATGACAGGAGAGCCTGGCTGAAGTGTCTCCAGGGCCATCATAGCGCCTGATGGCACCCAGGAACCATATGGGAGTGGTTTTCCCTGGCCCCAGACTCCTTTCCTTCTCTACCAATCTCCAGAGCTTCCCCATCCTTCTGTCTCTGAATCAAGTACAAGGGACCTTTTGTCAATCTTTTGCTTCTTTTAAAGCCTCTTGTTACAGGAAAACAGACAAGGACCCCCAAAGTAATAAACATAGGAATCAATAAAGTTCTAAGAGCCCCCACTTTTGGTCTAACCAGCAGGTAAGTAGAGGGATCAGCCTGTGGTGATCAATGCCCTTTCAGAGCTTTTTTATGGATGGGATAGAGAACCTTCTCTACCCTCCTGGTTCATTTCTTCCTTCCTGTAGGCGAGACAAGGAGGAACACACCTACCCAGCTAGCCCTCCGACTTTTCTTTCAGGCCACATGAGGGATGCCAGGCAGACATCCCACCTAAAGCCACCCGAGGGCCTCCTCTAGACACGGTGGCTGTTTAGAAACACTCAGATTCACTCACATGTTCAGGACTTTAAATCTCTGGCTCTCACTAGTAAAACCCATGATGTTTGCAGAACTTTTCAGCATAAAATGAACTTTCAGGAATGTTTTCCCATGCGCAACGCACAGCAGCCTGGCAGGGGGGCAGGGCAGGGATTAAAGGGGCCTCATTTCACAGATGAAGCTTCGCTGGAGGTCAGGAGATCAGTCACAGGCAGAGCCAGCAATCGCTAAACCATGATATTCTGGAAAAACAAAGATGGATGAAAACAAAAAGAGGAAGCCTGGATAAACTGGATCACTTTTTTTTTTTTTGGTCTGCTTGTTTTAAAGGAGTTATGAGATCATAACCTCTCCATCACATGAGCTAAGAGTGAAAACATGGATAGTGTCAAGTATTATCAAGTATGGGTGAGGATGTGGGCAAATGGGCTCCCAGACACCATCAGTGGGTGAGTGACCTGCCTGTCTTTGGGAAAGGCATTTGGCTTTGACAATGAACATTTAAAAATCAGAAAGATGCATAGTCAAGGACACACACGACTTCATGAATTGTATGAAGGAAAAAAAAAAAAGTCAGACACAACCTGTCTCCCCTGGAGAGAGTAAGATGAAAGCCGGTGCTGGGCCATGCAGGAATATCGTGCAGCCAGAAGGGTATGTACCAAACCACTGACAGATACCAAGGCCAAAGAGACTTCCGGACCATGCTGCATCTCTCATGTTGTTTGTTTATAAAAGGAATCCACTGATATATTACCAAAGTTTCATTTTTTTTAATTTACTCATTCATTCATTCATTCGACACAGAGAGAGAGGCAGAGACATAGGCAGAGGAAAAAGGAGGCTCCCTGCAGAGAGCCTAATGCAGAACTCGATCCCAGGACCCGGGATCATGACCTGAGCTCAAGGCAGAGACTCAACCACTGAGCTACCCAGGCACCCATGACTGAAGTTTCAAAGGAAACAATTAAACAACTTAAAGGAACATGTTTTCCTCAGCCTTGCCAGAAAGCAAGGTTACGGTGTGCAATGGCTGTAGCCTATCTCTGGCTAGATCCCTCTCCGCAGCCCATGCTGTTCCCAGCCTGTACAGTCGCTTGTTCCCTGCCTGGCATGTGCTTCCTCAGATCTTCCCATGGTTGCCTAGTCCAGTCTTGCAGGTCTCCACTTAAATGTTACCAATCCAGAGAGACCTGCTTCAGGCCCCCTCAGTCTCCTACCTTGACCTTTCCTCCCCATCCACGTCCAGCAGCCCTGATGGGAGCTGTATTTATTTTGTCTATCTGGTCCCAGTTCAATAGGGGCTCCAGGATGGTGGGGACCTTGCCTTGTTTTCTGCTGCATCCCAGAGCCTGGTAGAGAACAGATGGCAAAAAAATATTCATTGGACACATCTCGAATGGAGAGGCTAGAAACAGTCTACTTCGTCACTTCTCCAATGGGGAAACTGAGGCAGACTCTTGACATGTCACTCCCCCTGTGCCACAGTATGCCACAGTGCACCACAACCACTGATTACCCATCTACCTCACATGCCAGAGGCTGAACTTCCAAGAAAGGAGTCTCTTTGAGCCTGACTTCTTTTTCCTAGTTTCTAGTCCAGGATGAGCCATTCAGAAGGTGTGAAACAAAAGCCTGTTACATGAATGGAGCTGTATGGCTTTCTCCCTTGAATTTTCAAAGCTATGAACAGAAGCATTCACAGTTAAGGAACTCACTCTCACCAGCCTGGCTAGCATGCAGCAGAACTTGAACTCTGGATGCTGGATGTAACTGCCATGGCTTTCTATAAAAAGAGCTCCTGGGTCTCTTGGCTTTCACTCCTGCCCAGACAAATCTGGCCTGGCCAACTGCAAACCTGGCAGGCAGCTCATTCTGGAATTGGGTGAGCAAAGCTCCTCTTATCGTAATTAGGAAATTCATTCCCTTCACCCTAGATTGATCTGTGGTCAGCCTCTCCTTGGGGGCCCAATGAGAACAGGTAGAAAATAAACAAGGCTTTTTTTTTCTTTGTTTTCTTTTTTTTTTTTTTTTAAGATTTTATTTATTCATGAGAATACACAGAGAGGAGAGAGAGGCAGAGACACAGGCAGAGGGAGAAGCAGGCTTCACGCAGGGAGCCTGACATGGGACTCGATCCCGGGTCTCCAGGATCACACCCTGGGCTGCAGGCGGCGCTAAACCGCTGAGCCACCAGGGTTGCTCAGGCTTTTTGTTTCTAACCTATCCCTGCATCCTACTCTGATGGATTGGCTGACAGTAGAAGGTATCTTCTTGGCAGGCAGAGGTGGGTGGGAAGTGACACCCTAGGCGAACGTGGTCCTCCCTCTGGCAACAGAGATACAATTCTCCCACGGCCCTGCTCAGCCCCCGCCTTCTTGCAGGAAGAGCTATCCAACTGGTCTTGCAGGCACCTTCTTGGCAAAGTCTAGTGTGTAGGAGCCTCGGGTCCTCCTCCTGTCCCCCTGGGCTCCTTCATGATCCCTACCAATCTTGGGAGATCTGTGCCCATCTCTCTTCTTGGAAGAGGCCCTGGGGACCCCTGCTGGCTAGGTCCCACCCCATCCATTTTGGTACTGGGGAGAGGGTGCCAGCCTAAGTGCTTCCATACTTGCTGCCCAGGTCCCTGCCTGGCACCAGCTAGAACAACCCTGGGAAGTAAGTCACCCACATGCAACCTTCCCTTGGGCCCAGCTTTGTTCTTCTTTGACCTGGTCTTCTGGCTTCATCAGCCCCTAATCCATGGGTACCAGTGCCTGTGTGCCCTTTAGACATGGGCCCTGGACTCCAAGGCAGTGGGCAGAGGGAGGGAGCTGAGGAAGGCCTGAGCAACTGCGAATGTCTGACTCAGTTTCCATTCATCAAGAGAGGAAAGAGAACTAGGAGCTTGCCTACTATATACCCTTCTCGTTCTACAGGGAGGAAAAACTGGGGCCCAGAGAGGGAAAGTGACTTGCCCAGAGCCCTACAGCACCCATCAGAGGCAGAGCAGGAAGTCTAGACTCCTAACTTCTTTTTTTTTTTTTTTTATTTATTTATGATAGTCACAGGGAGAGAGAGAGACAGAGAGAGGGAGAGAGAGAGAGAGAGAGGCAGAGACACAGGCAGAGGGAGAAGCAGGCTCCATGCACTGGGAGCCCGACGTGGGATTCGATCCCGGGTCTCCAGGATCGCGCCCTGGGCCAAAGGCAGGCGCCAAACCGCTGCGCCACCCAGGGATCCCTAGACTCCTAACTTCTAATCTGTCCCTCCACACTCTCTACTGGCTGCCTCTTCTTCCTGCCCAAGAGGGCTAGGCAAATAACTCAAGCCTCTACAATTACATGACACCGGAGGCTGTTAGAACTTTTGGGATTTTACAGCAAAACATGTAATAGAAGTATCATACAGAAGAGCGTCCACACATTTTGGAGAAGATCCAGCTGACGCCCATACACTTGGAGGACATACATAAAACAGCACAGTCAGGGAAGAGGTGCAGCAGGACTTCCAGACCCCCACCTAAGTGCTCTTTCTCCCAATATGTTCCAGGTGTAAGTGTTCCAACTGTAGTGGGAAGTGAGGAGGTGGAGTTGACCTTGGGCCTCAGTCCCATTAAAACAAGGTGTGGTCCAGCGAGCCTGGTCCAGACTCTGTGTACATCCCAGGGCTACAGGAGACCACTGTGAGGGAATCCAGTGAAATCTCCCAACCAAACTGTATGTCTCAGATCACAGAGACAGAGCTTTGAAGAACGGGTCAGTGAGCTACACATGCCTACCTTTTTTTCATCCAAAGTGTATGGACAGGGCTTTAGAAGGAAAAGTTCATCAGTAAGAAAGAACACTGTCTACCGGAGCCAGAGGGAGGGGACAGAGGGAGGTGGCTGATCACGGACACACCAGCAACATCTGAACCCAAATCTGGTTTCTGAGCCCATGCTCATTCCCCTGACCTTGTGCTTGAAGAGATGTAATAGGAAGAGACATAACAGGAAGCCCTCTCATCCTTGACCTCTATCTCTGCTCCCACCATCCCCATCGCCACAGTCCGGCAAGGCCAAGTGCCTGCAGGTGAACAGGTATCAGCTTTAAGGACCTTTCAACTGGGACAGGGGCAGTGATGCTCAGGGGGACCAGGTGGTCCAGAAACGAGGTTGGAAGCTGCTGCAGAGGTGGGGCTGGATTCCATCACCTGCGGACAGACCCAGATTACTAAAGGGAAAGCCCTACGGGGATGAGGTGAATAAAAGCTATGGATGCACACAGCCCCCCCCCCCACCTCCCGGCCCCCCAGCTGTCCTAACTAAGTGTTTTCTGGCTGGGAAAATGCTTCAATAGCTCTGGCTGCCTGAGGCAATTCAATTATGAAATTTACCACATTAGATGAAAACCAGCATCTCAATCAGCCAATTCATTTGCGTCTGGCCACTCTGTTTTCTCCTGCCAGCTCCGTCTGCCCCTCCATGGCCAGGCCACATCCCACACAGCAGGCTGGCCCGGACGGATCAGGGCTTAGGCCAGGGGCTGGTCTTTGAGGCTGGTGGGGTGGCTTCTCCCAGGACCCCCTGAGCAGAGCTGCAGCCAGTAGCCTCCAGCTTCCTGGAGACTGCCAGGCCTGCTGACTTCCACAGGATCAGATGAACCTTTCTCTCACCTCCCATCTGCATTCTCCCTGACCTCAACCTGCACCTGCCTTGAGGTTGCAAGGAACTGGCTTCTGAGAGAAGTGTGGGTGGGTGGGTGGGTGGGAGAAGCCTGCTGCCTGGGGCCCAGAAGCAGGGCTCTGTCAAGCCACTCTCATCTTTACTTTGTCATGCCATCATCTCTCCAGAAAGCCTTTGCCACCTGTGCCCTTCGGCTCCCTTTGTTGCCTTTATCACTGGGGTACCGTGCACACCTGTGCACACCTCGGCATGTCGATGTGTCAGGGCCCCAATCCACGTGCCAGCACACCCTTCTCTAGGAGCTCCCAGAATATAGGGTCCCTACCAAGACTGTTCCAACAATGCTCAATTAGACAATTAACAAATGAATGAACAAAACACTCAGGAGTACACTCCCTTCCCAGCCCCCCTTTGCGCATCAGAGTGATAGAAGGGAAGAAGTGAGCCTGCTTTCACTGAAGACCACAAAGTCCCAGGCCTGGGTAATCGTCCCCACGCTGGGTGCCCAGAGGTTTGAGAGGCTATTAAGGGGCATCGGGCTGCAGAAGCTGCCTCAGATGCTGAGTGAGTAGCTCGCCCACGGCTCCTGTCTGTGCACCACTAACATAAATCTAGCTGCAGCCCAAGCCCCAGGATGAAGGTTTCTACCATTTCTCTCTACCTTCCTTTTAACAACCTCCCTGGAGTCACCTCCTGACAAACGCAATGACTCAAGGCCAAGGTAGCTGCCAGGCCCAGAAGACTGACTCCATCAACCTCCTCAGGCACAGCTTGGGGACCCCAGGACCCCTGGTCTCAGGAGGATACCAAATTTGTCCCAGGTGGGGTGGACCTTGTTTTCTACCGCTCACCGGTCCCCAGGCCCCAAATGCAAGTCTTTCCCAACAGCCCCTAGGAATCCTAACAGCACACCCGGGCCCACTGAGCATCCGTCCCACTTATGAAGGGAGAGACTGAGGTCCAGGGGTCTCAAAGGGCCTGACCCCACATGACCCTCCCCATAACCTGGTCCACGATAAGAGCGGAGGGGTGGGGGACGGGGCTTCCTGCCTCCTCCCCCAGTGCCACTGGAACTTCACCCTTCACCAGGCCAGAGTGAAACCAGGAGGCCCAGACACACGGTGTTCTCTGCCCTGACTCACCCGGGAGGGCCAAACCTCAGGGAGCCTTTCCCCTCCTCAAATCAAGTCAGCAGGACCCAAGAGTGCCCAGTTTAAACCTGCAGGGGCCTAGGTCGGCCTCCATACCCCCATCCCTTTGATCAGGTCCCCGTGAAGATTTCTCTTTGCACAAAGAGAGTGATAATGCACCTCGGGGATGCTGAAGCAGCAGCACACAAGAAAATGTACGGCGCTTCTGGGGGTGCAGCCTCTCCCAGGAAAAGCTTCTCAAGCAACTAACTAGAGGAGGACAAGAAGCGGGGGGGGGGGGGGGGGGGCGTGCCCAATGCGGTGTAGGAGCCGGGGCAAGCGGCGGGGAAGAAGACGGCGGCGCTGGACGGGGCTCGCGGTGGACCCGCCGGGGGGCGCCCGCTCGGTGGGCAGGAGGGTGGGACTTGCAGCGCGCGACCGCCGCTCCGCCGCTCTCTAGAGCCCGGGCCGGGTCGGCGGGACCGAACCGGCAGGGGCGCGGGGGGCGCGGGGAGGGGAGGGGGGAGGGGGGCGCGGGGAGGGGGCGCGGGGAGGGGAGGGGGGAGGGGGGAGGGGGGCGCGGGGAGGGGAGGGGGCGCGGGCCGCACTGCCCCAGGTAACCCCCGGCCCGGCCCCGGCCCGGCCCCGCCCCGCCCCGCACGCGGCCCGCGGCCGTCTGGCCCTCGGCGGCAAGTGCGCGGGGACTTCGCCCAGCCCGGGCGCAGAGCCCGGCCGCTCACCGCCCCAGACACCGGCAGCCTCCTCTTTCCAGGATCGATACTAATTCTTTAAAAAGAGAGTCTGCGGACTCCATGAATCAAGCACTCCCGGGGGAGAGTTGTAGCTCCCGCGCGCAACATCCATCTGCAAGACCAATTCATTCCGTCGCGCCGAGCTCTCCGCAGGCACCCTCGGAGCAGCCCGGCCCCAGCCCGGCCCCAGCCCCCCCCCCCCCCCCGCTTTGTCCCCGAGCGCAGCCCCCGAGCGCCCGGCGCAGCTCCCACGGCGGCGCGCGCAGGCCCCCGCAGGCCGGTCCCAGCCGGGGGGCGGGGTGACAAGTGCCAGCCGGGCCGGCGGCCGGGGCGCGCGGCTGCACCGGCCCCGCCACTCACCGCCCGCCGCGCTCCTCGCCCGGGTCCTCCTCCGCCGCCGCCGCCGCCGCGCCGCCGCCGCCGCCGCCGCCCTCCCCGGCTCGCCTCTGCCCGAGCGCGCCGCCGCCGCTGTACCTCCCGGGCGCCGCCGACAAACTAGTTTCTCAGGCCTTCCCGCCCCGCCTCCCGGCGCGAAGCCAATCAGAAGCGGCGCCTCTGTGACGGACGGGCGGTCGAACCCATGGTTGAGCCCGCGGCGGGAGAAAGGGGCGGGCGCCCGGGCCGCGCCGGCTCCGCGAGGGGGGCGGGGCGGGCCGAGGAACCAGACTTTGACCAGATTCTTAAAGGGACAGGCCCCCGCCCGCCCCCGCCCGCCCCGCCCGCCGCGGCCGAAGTTTAGGAACAAAACCTGTCGGTGTTCTAGAGCTTTCCGAAGGACGAAACTGTGTGGTTTGCAAACGCCGCTTCTGGGCCGGATGTGCGGAGCCACGCTTTTGGTTGTGGAAGTGTTAGGGAAACTCCTTCGTTGTACTCTGGGCTTGTTTCAGTGTTTGGGATTTTCTGCAGCCGCTAAACCCCATTACGTACTTGGGATATGTCTTTTTCAGGGTGCTTCAGCTCTCCGACCCATACCATTCCTAAGTTCTTTATGTAAGCCGGTCTTCAAATAGGCATTCGCTCGTTCATTCATTCATTCATCCATCCATTAATTCATTGCACCAACGTTTGCTGCACGCCCGTGTGATTTGGTGGTTTCTGAACGGAAGCAGATTATAGAAATGATCCATAATTTCTATTTCTTGCCTTCTAGTTTTGCATCTTGTCCCACGGCTTCAGGTTGCTGGGTATCCAATTTGTTCATCTGTAACGGGGCAGGTAAAGAGTCCTATTTCCCGGGCACCTGGGTGGCTCAGTGGCTGAGAGTCTGCCTCCCGCCCAGGTCATGATCCCCGGGTCCTTGGATGCGCCCTGCATCGGGCTCCCTGCACGGATCCTGCTTCTCCCTCTGCCCCTGTCTCTGCCTCTCGGTGTGTCTCAAATAAATAAATAAATAAATAAATAAATAAATAAATAAAATCTTTTTTTTTAAATGTTTTTTTTAATTTTTTTTATTTTTATTTATTTATGATAGTCACAGAGAGAGAGAGAGAGAGAGAGAGAGAGAGAGAGAGGCAGAGACACAGGCAGAGGGAGAAGCAGGCTCCATGCACGGGAAGCCCGACGTGGGATTCGATCCCGGGTCTCCAGGATCGCGCCCTGGGCCAAAGGCAGGCGCCAAACCGCTGCGCCACCCAGGGATCCCCCAAATAAATAAAATCTTAAAGAAAAAAAAGAGAGTCCTATTTCCGGAATGAAAGGACAGGAACTCCTATGACCAGGTATGTGTGCCGTAAATGTTTTTTCTCCCTTCTTCTGAAAATCGATCATAAGGTAGGTTACTTAAGGATATGAAAAGCCCTGGTAAAGTATAGAAAGTCCTCGGTGGTGTAGGAGCCAGTTATGGGGAGCGCAGAATTCCCAGGGAGCAGAGGTCACACCTGTGGGAGGTCTAAGGAAGGTTTATAGAGGGGGAGGAGGAGCGCACCAAAGATTGGGAAGAGAGGTGGGATTTTGACTGGTGGGAAGGCTGTTTAGACTGGACAAAAGAGAATCCAGGGTGCCAGGTGGCAGCAGGAAAGACCTCTCGGAGGAAACTGTATGGTGCAGAGAGAGAGAGGACAGCAGAGAAGACCCCATCTCGGTTTGGATCCTGGCTCTACCTCAGGACCAGGAGAGAGCCGGAGGCAGATGCTCAGGCTGAGTGTCAGATTCTTACTGGTGAAAAGGAGGAAACTTGAACGTATGGCAGGGTTACTGTAAAGATTAAATAAGAGAATGTATGCAGTGGGCCTGACACCTCTTAAGTGCTCAATATAGTTTTGCATCTCCGTTTGGTCTAGATCTGGAGACAGTTAAGACAGGAGGGTTCTGGTATTAAGAGCAGTCTTGGCCGGAGGTAAGATGTTGGCCAGGTGTGCTGCTAAGATGCCTCCAAGGGGAAGAGGAGGCATCCAGAATAATTGGCCCATGAGAGAAATGACACAGATCGCATTTGTAGTTTTAGCATCCCGCCAATTGTCTAGAGCTGGAGTATTTATATAATTGTTGGTTGGATGAAGCTCCACATACAAAATGGATTCCTAGCAAGCTCATAACCATTGTTTATGATTCCATTCGAGTTCTCTGAGAGATTAGAAGTGCCAAGCGTCTAAAATGGAGTCCACATTATCATTTCCCCCCTCCTCAGCTCCATGGCTTAAATTAGGTACTGGAATATATTAGAATCAAATGCCGGCAAAGGGACAAAAATCAGACCAAGAACATGTGTTGAGTTATTGAATTGATATGATTTGAGAGGAAAAAGGAGATGAAGCTTGCTTTGCCATCTGTCTCAGTCCTCACTCTAGACCTGGGAACATAAACAATATCACCGCCCCTACCCCCTGTGTTGTAATGACCTGCTTATGACCACCCCCCCTGCAAAAGGGAGTTCTGGGAGGGTGGGGATCATGACATCTCCGAATCCTTGCTTCCTCTCACGAGTTGTCTACACAGTTTTGAAATCCTGTGAGCAAATCTCATATTGGTTAGAATTAGCTCTT